ACTCCCACGTAGTCAACCACGGTTCGCATCCCAGACCCGGTGGCTTAAAACTCGCACCGGGCGCATGTGCGTGCGTGCCCAAGATCCCAAGAGGAGAATGGAGGAGAAGGGATTGTGGCGTGACCATCCCCCCTGGGGGGTGATTTCTCGCTTTCTGTCTCTATGTCCTTCTCTGTCTGTCTGGCGAGCGCACGCACCCTATAGTGAAAACCTCTCAAAAAAAAAAAACTTCCTAAGAGTAATAGCCATCCAACCCTCTCACTCTCACCAGTTGAGACCTCCTGATTGAAATTACTCCTAATTACTGTGCTGGCAAGTGAACTTTCTGGTCTCAGTTCCTTTTCCATACCTGTCCAGAATGTAACTTCTCAATATACCCTTCACTTTTTATCTATCTTATACCTAACTTAAGACCCACTTGACACTTAACCCCCATTCAGTAGGGGAGGAATAGCCTTAGTACTTACAATCGTTTTTAGAAATGCTTGGCATTGATATGTCACTACCTATTCTCTCATAACTTACTCTTTATGTATTCTTTCTCCCACCTGGAAGGCAGATTCCTTGAAGACAAAAGTTGCATCTAAAACTCCATCCTATGTATAGCCTATAGCTATCAATAAATATTTTAAGTCACTCAGTGACTACCATTGAGTGATTACCATGTTAACAATAGATGTTGAGGGTATAGAAGTGAGCAATCATACAAAATCCTCACCTCACTAAGATTATAAATCAATAGAGCAAGAAGAAACCAATTAAATTCAGTGTCCAATAAGAAACAAATAGGATGGTGACATGGCAAGTAAAGAAGAATGAGATCATGGTCAGATGCTACTTTAGACAAGGTAGCCAAAACATACTTCACTGAATTGACACCTGACACCTGAAAAGAGCCAGGAAAGAGCATTCTGGCCAAGGGGAAGAGTATGTATGAAATCCCTGAAACAGGAAATCTCCTGGCATATTTGAAGAAAAATCAGTCCTACAAGTACTTCAAATAGCTTCTTGTTTGTGTGGTTGGTTGGGTTTTTGTTTTTGTTTTTGTTTTGGAATGTGCCACAGGGCATGCATGCTTTACAGAGAGAAAGAGAAAAGGAAAGTAATAAAGCACCCCAGTGGGAGATGATCATGCCACAATCCCTTCTCTTCCAGTTCTCCCTCCTGTCAGGATTTTGGGTATGCACACACATGTTTCTGGCGTGATTTCCAAAGCTGTCAGGTCCAGGTCTCAAACTGCATGGTTGGCCATGTGGGAACCAGCAGCCTTAATCACCACACAACTGGCTTGCCCAGATACAAAGTTTTAAATCAAAGGAGTGCCATAATTATGTCATAAAAATGACTCCGATTTCTACAAAGATTACACTGGTTACAGAGTAAAGAAGGGACAGTTAAAAAGCAAGAGAAGGAGTGGGGAGTACAGTATGAGCTATTGCAGAAGTCCAGGGATGAAGCGACCATATGCTGAACTGGAGGAAACAGTTAAGAGAGAGAGCACAGACAGATTTGAGAAATCTTTTAGAGAAGTACTTAACAGGATTTGTTCATGGGCTAGGTTGGGTAGGGGCAGCAAAGGATGCTGTCATGTCTGATACAGGGAGCATATGGTTTATGTTACAGTGAGGGGACATGAATTCGATTTGAACATGTTAACTTTGAGGTGACTGTTATGTAATAGCTGATTTTTTGAAGGTCGAACCAGCCTTGCATTCCCTCAATAAATATCACCTGGCTGTGATAGTATCGTTTTTAAATATTACTGGGTTTGAGAGGCGATGTTAAGGAATGGATATATGAAATGGAGAGAGACAAGATATTAGTGAAAGCACAGGTTATCATCTTATACTTACTAATTAAAATCACCTAGGAAAAAGTGCTTATTAGAGAAAAGAGAGCACTTTTCTGTCATGAAACTCCCCAAGATTTATAGAAAGGACGAGCAATAAGAGATTGGGGGGAAGGAAAGATTTTACTTGCAAAATCTGAAATCATAGAATGTTTTAACAATGTGTAATCTATCTGCTATCTGATAAAATAAGACAGAGGGGGTATATCTGATTTGATAATAAAGGGAATAACTCATGTCCTTTATAAAAACAGTTTCAGCTAAATAGAAATGATAAAAACAAACAAAAATGGAATTAAAAAAAAAAGGAGACTGGAAGGGAAAAAGAAAGGGAAAGGGGTTTTCTCGAAAATAAGTGTAAACCATATTCACAGTGAAAAATAAATCAGGGACCAGCAGTTAGCGTAATGGCTATGTCGCTGGACTCCCACGTAGTTGACCGCAGTTCACGTCCTGGACCCAGTGGCTTAAAACTCACGCCGGGCACATGTGCATGCGTGCCCAAGATCCCGAGAGGAGTATGCAGGAGAAGGGATTGCAGCATGGCCATCTCCCCTGGGGGGTGATTTCTCGCTTTCTGTCTCCCTGTCTCTCTCTGTCTGTCTGGTGAGCCCGTGTGCCCTATAGCAAAAACTTCTCAAAAAAAAAAAAAAAAATCAGACCAGTGACAGATCACATTTAATTAATATCTATTTTTTTGAGACCTTTTGCTATAGGGCACATGCACTTGCCAGAAAGACAGAGACAGACAGAAAGTGAGAAATCACCCTCCAGGGAGGATAGCCATGCCGCAATCCCATCTCCTCCATTCTCCTCTCAGTATCTTGGGCACACACGCACATGCACCCTGCGTGAGTTTAAGCCACCAGGTCCAGGACTAAAACCATGGTCGACTACATGGGAGTCCAGCAACACAGCCATTACACTAACTGCTGGTCCCTTTATTTTATATCTTGATGAAAGTATTTTAGTAAACCAATGATGTTTATCTTGTTATCAATCAGTCAAACAAGTAGGTGTGGTCCCTTCAACACAAAAATAAACTGAGGTCTTATGTCAAGATATTTTGCATTTTAAAAGTGTAATAGAGATAGAGGGCCAGTGAGCTGCATGGTGGTTAAGGCATTGACCACAGTTTAAGTCCCAGACTCAGTGGCTTGAAAATCACATCAGGTGTATGTAGATGAGTACCCAAAATCCTAGGAGGAAAATGAATTATAGCATAGCCACCCCTCCCCACTGGTGGTGTTTCACTTCTCTCTCACTATTTCACATTGGCAAGCACACCTGTCCTAGGGTAAAAAACTAAAAATAAATAAATAAATAGAAATTTAGCTTCTAAAAGATATAAGAGTTCAACTGCAAATGTCTCACCAATAACAGAAGATATTAGGGAGATTTGTCTCCAAAAGCCTGAGGAATGGGTGTCAAAGACCCCTTTTGCCAAGATGGTGCCAAAAGTGAAGAAGGAAGCTCCTACTCCTCCCAAAGCTGAAGCTAAAGCAAAGGCTTTGAAAGCCAAGAAGGTAGTGCTGAACGGTATCCACAGTCACAAAAAAAGAGAAGATTTGTGTATCATCCACATTCTGGGGGCCCAATACACTGTGGCTGCAGAGACAGCCCATACATCCTCAGAAGAGAGCCCCCAGGATAAACAAGCTTGGCCACTGTGACATCATCAAGTTCCCCCTGACCACCTAGTCTGTTATAAAGAAAACAAAAGACAACACATCTGTGTTCATTGTGGATTCCAAGGCCAACAAGCACCAGATCAAACAGGCTGTGAAAAAACTCTCTGATATTGATGTGGCCAAGGTCAACACTTCAATGAGGCCTGATGGAGAGAAGGCATTTGTGTGACTGGGTCCTGATTATGATGCTTTGGATGTTGCCAGCAAAATTGGGATCATCTAAACTGAGTCCAGCTGATTAATTCTAAACACACACTTCTTCACCATTAAAAAAAAGACATTAGGCTGAACCCCATAGCCTAGTGGTTAAGTGGCCAGATCCTACATGGCCAATCAAAGTTTGATTCTTGGGGGACCAGCAGTTAACATAATGGCTATGTTGCTGAATTCCCACATAGTCAATGGTGGTTCTAGTCCCAGATCTGGTGGCTTAAACTCACAGAGGGCATGAGTGCATGCATGCCCAAGATCCTGAGAGGAGAATAGAGAAGAAGGGACTGTGGCATGGCCATCCCCCCTGGGGAGTGATTTCTTGCTTTCTGTCTCTCTGTCTCTCTGTCTTTCTGGCGAGTGCATGCGCCCTATAGCAAAAACCTCTCCCCCCCAAAAAAAAAGTTTGATTCTTGGCCTGGGAGCTTGAAAAACAAATCTGGTTGGTACATGTGTGTATGCGCCAAATCCCAATAGGATGGATAAATGAAGAAGAAGGGATTGTGGCCTCACTGGAGCAGGGTGGGGGTGGCTTTCTCCCTCTCTGTAACTCTCTGGTAAGTACAAGCATCCTCTGGCACACCAAAATTTTAAAATGAATTTCTTTAAAAAAAAGAATATATTTCTTGTCTTGGAATAGAGAACATTTTCTGTGCAGAAATTAATAAAGCAACTTTATTCTATAAAAATAAAAGATGATAAGTATAGCAAATAAATACATTGTGAAAGGAATTTAGAAAAATGACAGAATAGATGAAAATGTTACAACATAAATAACCTTAACATATAAAGAGTGTCTATACCTCAATAAAATAGAAACCAATAGAAACTGCAACAAAGGATAAGAACAAAAAAAATCAAGAAAGAAATTCGAGTGACAAGACAGTCTGATTTTTCCATTTTTAAGGATTTTCCTGAAAAGTCATGACTCTAAAGTAATATTAGATTAATTATGTATCTTAGGTACTCTGCAGACAAAATCAGACATACACAATTCTTCAGTGGCCTAGATAGCTTCACCATCAATACAGAGCATTTTTGTTCCACAGCTGAGGATACAGCAGGATGGTCTTGTTTAATTTAACATGATATTACTGCAACAGGTACTGATTGCTAAATTTTAGGTTACTCATTCAATGGAGATGTAACTATAATTTTAAAACTCAGCATACTTAAAATATCTACGATATTTAAACAGCTATGAGCACCATACAAACACAAAAACAAAGAAAATAAGCAAAAGCGCCTACCTTCCCTGATAGCTGTGAAAGGTGTACCTTCTTCTTCCTGCAGCCTGATCACTTTCAGGGCCACCAACTTCCCATTTACTCTGTAAGAATGGAAGAAAAGATGAGAAGTGAATATATAAAAATATGTGCCCATTATGATTCCAATTGTCTTCCTTATAACTTATATTTTATGCACTTTTGCACTAAAAAGGTCAGTGATTCAATTACACTACCACAGCAAGATTAATTTCGGCAAGGTTGCGAATTCCACATCATCATCACACATATTCACATTTTAAATATTCGTACTTGCATAGACCAAGATCTAACTCAAGTTTTCTGTGATTCCCTCTGTTCCTTTCAGAATGAAACTAGTGTTTTACAAAATCACTATGCTTGACAATGATTCTTAGATTAATTAAAAATCAAGCAGACGAAATAACTCTCCTTTTTTTTTCCAATAGCTCCTTCTCTGCTTCTTTTGCTGAAATATCTTCATCTTCGGTCTTTAATTGAGGTCATTCAATCCCCAAGGACAAAACCTTGATGCTGAGCATTCTCTCTTCTCACTTGTTCTCTCAACATCCGCTCCCTCTTTTTTCCTTTTTTGTTTTTCCCACTAGAGCCTCCTAAAATTAAATTTGGTCCGGTTGTGTTCTATATTACAATGTGTCATCAAAAAAAGCTATGAATATTTTACTATTACAAGATTATACAAGACCTATCCAAAGCAGATGGTTCTCCGAGACCATTCTAAATGTGTGTCAGGTTTAATTAAAAGTAAGATTGAGCTATGGAGATAACTTTTAATCCAGTCATTTTCTGTCAACAATCAAAGACATTATTCTCTATATTGGTCTTCTCCTTGAATACTCTATTTTCTACTTTTACTAAGTCTATCAGCATACTTTATTTAGTTTATTATTAAAATATACACATATACACTAAAAATAGAAAAGGTAAAAGAAGGTATTTGGTGGAAAAAAAGATCTCCCTGCCACACTCTCTTTTGGCTACCGACCTCCTATCCTCTGAAGTTAGCACTTAACTATTATTCATATATACTTTCAGATATATAGACTCCCGCATATATTATGATATATTATGTATATACACACACACATATATATACACACTATATATTGTACATATGTACACACTCATACACACAAGTGGCTATATATGATACACAATACACTATATATTATTTTTTGTTATTTAATAATATATTTTGGTGACTTCCTTATAAATTTATAGAAAATTGCCTCTTACTTTTGAAAGGCTACAGAGTATTCCTATATATGAATATAGTATACTTAATTTAATCCTAGCCCTCTATTGATAAGCATTTAGCTTGTTTCTAATTTCCTGAACTTGAACCACATGACCTTGTAGGACCTAGCTCCCTTAACCACTGCCTCAGGACCAGACCATGAATATTCTTAAACATGTAATTTCATCCTTTAAAAACATATCTGTAGGGAACCAGCAGTTAGCTTAACGGCTATGTCGCAGGACTCCCACATAGTCGACCACGGTTCGCGTCCCGGACCCGGTGGCTTAAAACTCACGCCGGGTGCATGTGCGTGCATGCCCAAGATCCTGAGAGGAGAATGGAGGAGAAGGGACTGCGGCGTGACCATCCCCCCTGGGGGGTGATTTCTCTCTTTCTGTCTCTATGTCTCTCTCAGTCTGTCTGGCGAGCGCATGCGCCCTATAGCGAAAAACTTCTCCAAAAAAAAAAAAAATGTCTGTAGGTAAATATCTAAAAGTGGAACTACAAGGTCACAAGGTGTGTACATCTCTAATCTTGATGAATATTGGAAAATTATTCTACACAGAGGATACTAATTCACCCTTCTTATAGCAAACAATACAGCCCCTGTTCTATCTCTTCTTCACCTGACCTAGCAATGTTTTATCAGCGCTTTACTTTACCAATATAATAGGTCAAAAATTACCTATTAAATTTAAATTGCAGAACCGACAGATGGCATAGCGGTTACGTCACTGGACCCCTACATAGTCGACCGTGGTTAGAATCCCAGATTCAACAACTCAGAACTCACACTGGGCACATGTGCATACATGCCCAAAATCTCAGGAGGAAAATGGAGGAAAAGGGATTGCAGTGTGGCCAACCTTACCAGAGAGTGATTTCTCACTTTCTGTCTCTCACTCTGTCTCTCTGGTGAGCACATGTGTCCTATAGCAAAAATATTTCTTTCAAAAAAATTGTTTTTAATTGCTACTAGGCCAACAAGTGGCATAGTGGTAAAGGTACTGGATTCTCACATGGCCAACTGCAGTTTGAGAGCCAGATTTAATGGCTTGAAACTCAAACTGGGTGCATATGAGTGTGTGTCCATGCCCAAAACCCCAAAAAGAGAATGGAGAAGGGATTGCAACGCAGCCATCTCTTCTGGGACGTGATCTCTCACTTTCTTTCTCTTTGTCTCTCCAGTGAGCACATGTGCCCCATAGCAAAAATCTCTCAATAAATAAATTATTTATTTATTTATTTATTTTTAGAGAGATTGTTTTGCTATAGGGCATGTGCACTCATCAGAGAGACAGAGACAGAGATACAGAAAGCAAGAGGTCTCCAGGGGGATGGCTATGACACTATCCCTTCTCTTCCACTCTCCTCTTGGGATCTTGGGTACCATGCACATTTGCCTGGAGTGAGTTTTAAGCCACCAGGTCCAGGACCTGAACCACAGTTTAACTATGTGAGAGTCTAGCAACATAACCATTATAACATCTGCTGGTCTCTGGATGTCCCTTCTTTTAAAATTATACCTAATTGGTTTAAAAACTGCCACAGATACAAAACTCAAAAAGTCAAGGAATTTATCCCAGTCCCACCATCTGAAAGGCATTTCTCAGTGAACTGATTGCTGAAATGTGTCCTTATTGGATATGACATGGGATGGACATCTGATTATAAGGCTCTACAGTGTGCCATCTCCTCATCGTAAGAAGCCGTGTTTATTTTGCCTTGTATCAGCAAAAAAGGCATGCAGGTTTCTGCTCTGCAGCTTCTTCTCTTGAGTATATCGCCTTGGTTTTCTAATTCTGCTTGTGTTTTAGGTACCCAGGTGCAGGCATAAAATTACTATGCACACAGAGTTCGGCGGGGGACTGCACCTCGTGCTCTTCCCTTTGTCCTTTAGGACTCAGGGAGGCCTCTGGCACACTGGAGGCTAGGATGCAGTCAGCGCTGACATCTGCATGGATTTTTCTCAGCCCAGTTGAGCTCATCACGGGCTCCCCAAGGAGACAGTGGCTGATTCCAGGAACTGCTTGGAATTTTCCCCTCATTTACAGATATTTTCCCCTCACCCATAAAGCACACACAACCTTCTTCCCACCAAGCTTTCCATCTCCCTGGAGAGCATTAGCCTGTACATACTACTGCAAACTGAAATTCAAAATACAGGGACTTCACACTTCTGAGGGTTATACATTTAAAATTAAAACATACTCGCAAGCCCTGTAACTAACTGTCCTGTAACATACTGACACAAACCTTTAATTGAGTCAACGTTCACTCTTGGAATACAACCGAACATGAAACCTCTGTAAATAATCTCATAAACTAATTTGCATTATTTATGTAGTGCAAATTTTTTTAATGTATTTTCTATGATAATTACATAAAAGTATAAGAACCAGGTTCATGAAATTCTGGTTCCTGAATTCTCCATGAATTGAACCTCCAAGTGTTTGTTTTTGATAGGTTATGATAATCACCATTAATGACACTGATATTTTATGTATTAAATCATCTGAAACTAAAATTTGTCTTAAAATGTGGACTACAGTGTAAGTTCCAGAATCAAAGAGCTTTTTTTCGGTTTGATTTATTAATTTGTGACAAGTATTTAGGACCTCCCTGGCATAGAGTAGGTTTTCAAATTGTTTTACTGAATGAATACTGACACCGTTAATATACTGACATTTCCTCCTTCTAACTGCAAAATATGTCCAGAATAAAGTATAAAAATTATTGCCTCCAGGGCTAGCAGGTGGTATGGTGGTTAAGGCCCTGGATCCCACGTGGCCAACTGCATGGTTTGAGTCCCAAACTGACAGCTTCAAATTTATTCCAGGTATGGGTCTGTGTGTGCCTAGAATCTAGTGGGAGAATGGAGAAGAAGGGATTGTAGCATGGCCATCCCCCGCCCCCATGCCCAGAGGGTGATTTTTCACTTTCTCTTTTCTCTGTGCCAAGCACAAGTACACCGTACAAAACAAAAAAAAAAAAAAACTAAAAAGAAAATAAAAACATTGCTTCCCAAAATTCAGAAATTTAAGTTTTTATTTTTTGGTGTTTTGTTTTGTTTTGTTTCATTCTTTTTGAGAGATTTTGCTATTTTACCAGAGAGACAGAAAGAGATGGAGAAAGACAAAAGTGAGGGATTACCCTCCAGAGGGGATGGCCATGCCACAATCCCTTCTCCTCCATTCTCCTCTTGGAATCGGGCACACATGCATACACATGCAACCTGAGTTCCAAGCCAACGGGTCAGGCTCTCAAACTGTGGTCAGTCAAGTGGAAGTCCAGCACCTTACCCACTATACCACCTGCTGGCCCCAATACTAGAGCTTTATAAAGCTTCCAACATCCTCTTTATGTTTGGTGTATTTTCTTTCTTCAAATTAAAGATGTAGTCTCTTTGATTTTGTTGCATGTGGCTACAGAAAAGTTTTTCTTCCCTTGAAGTTTTAGAATGTATAGGATGCTTGGTTAATTAAACTTTTTGTACCCAACAGAGATGTTTCAAAACACTCTCATCCTTTAATAACCTGGGCACAGGCCACTAATCAGCATCTCCTTCTCCACTGCTTCATTGGTTTCCCATTAAGAACCATATTGATTATCAAATTGCTCTTTAACCTAAGAGTCACTGTGACTCTCTCCTTTCTTAATTAGTTTTTCTCCACATGTATAGACACTCAACCAACCACTGAATCTCTCAGTTTTAAAGCCTAGTAAATATGTTAAGTTGTTGTCCCCACGTTTGCAAAACGTAGTTTCAGAAGAAATAACATGAAATTTTCTGTCTTCGTGGGTGTATATTTTAAACTTCAGTAT